CTGGTGCAGCCTATGGAGTTAATTGGCCTGGCCGTTTTAACCCCTTCCAGTCCTGTGTGGGGTGGGCACCCCATCACACCAACCCAGAAGTGGTCTCTAATAAGAGGCACTCCCTGACCTGCCCCTGCAGTGCTCTCTGTCACTGAAGGGCATTGTGTGTTCTGCCCATAGACTGGCAGGAACGTGAGCTGGCTCATTGGCGTTCTTTGGCCAGACACAGCGGTATCTGCACGAGCATTCCATGATGGTGGCGAGGAGAACGTTACAAACAACTTCATGGTATAAAAGTTTAGTGAACTTAAATGTTCCCCTGTGGGCAGGATAATTATCCACTAGGAGGCTTCTTGAACCTTCCTCTGCAGCAGTTGGTGCTGGCTACTATTGGAGTCGGGACACTGGACTGGATAGACCACAGGCCTGTTCCAATATGGCAATTCCTCTGTTCCTAAAAACTGCAGAAAGAATGTGTGGACAAAGTGCTGGTTATAACTAAGGCTAAGATTTTGTTACAAGAAGAAAAGGAGTACTTGTGGCACCTTAGAGACTAACCAATTTATTTGAGCATGAGCTTTCGTGAGCTACAGCTCACTCCATCGGATGCATACTGTGGAAACTGCAGAAGACATTATATACACAGAGACCATGAAACAATACCTCCTCCCACCCCACTCTCCTGCTGGTAATAGCTTATCTAAAGTGATCATCAAGTTGGCCCAACTTTTGCTAAACTTTTTTTACTTTTACTAAAAATAACTGTAACAAAATGGGGAGGGAGGAGAGTCCAGCACCCACCAGCCTGCCCTCTTAGCATCTTGAAGCTGTGAGGTCCCCCCACCACCCATGGTAGCTCAAAGCTGGGGGGGTCTCCCTGCCACCCACAGCAGCTGAGAGCTCCAAGGTCCCCCTGCTGGCCCCGGCAGCTGGGAGCAGCAGGGTCTCCCCCGCCACCCACAGTGGCTGGGAGTTGCGGGGTCCCCTGCCACCCACGGCAGCAGGGAGCTGCAGGGGCCCCACTGGGGCTAAAGCGGAAAATGTCATGGAGGTCTTTGGAACTCACGGATTCTGTGACATAATCTTTGCTTTAGTTATAACTGATTGAAAGGGGAGAGATTATGAAGACTGGGACAGTGCATCTTAGAAAAGAGACAACTAAGGGGGGATATGACAGAGGGCTGTACAGTCATGAATGGGGTGGAGAATGTGAATCGGGAAGAGTTACTTACCTCTTCTCATAACGCAAGAACTAGGGTTCACCTGATGAAATTAATAGACAGCGGTTAAAGTACTTCTTCACACAATGCATAGTCAGCCTGGGAAACTCATTGCCGGGGGTGGTTGTGAGGGCCAAAAATATAACTGGGTTCAAAAAAGAGTGAGATAAGTTCATGGAGGATCGGTCCATCAATGGCTATTAGCCAAGATAGTCAGGGATTGCAACCCCGTGCTCTGGGTGTCTCTAAACCTTTGACTGCCAGAGAGCTGGAACTGGACGACAGGGGATGGATCACTTGAAATTGCCCTGGCCGCTGTCAGTGACATTGGTTTGACCCAGTATGGCTGTTCTTATGAAAATTCCTGGTTAAAGAACATAGGCCCAGATCCTTAAAGGTGTTTAGGCACCTAATTCCCAATTAATAAATGGGGATTAGGTGCCTAAATACCATTAAGGATCTGGGCCATATTACCTACTGGAGGTACATGTTTAAGAAACAAATCTAGGAATTTAAGGGCCCAGATTAACATATCTCAGTCTTTTCTGGTTGGTCAGTCCTTATTCAAATGTAACAATTTTCATGACCCTTTTACCATTACTGTAAAACTAAGAATTAAAACAAAATCAATGATATTATGATGATCAGTTACAGACAGAAGCTTGAAGCAATGGTGTGATGTTGTCTGATTAAAATATGACCATGCAAACCACTGTTACTACCACTGTTATATAATTGCAACAGCTCTTATACAAGTTTGACACATGGCCAGAAAGGGTTAAGCAGCTTTCAGGTCAAATAACGGAGAGTCAACCTTTAAAGAATGTTAGAAAGTTTGTGAATGGTAATTAGGGCCATTCCATGTTACAAGCAAACAAAAGCACAGAGGAGATCCACAAGCCAAAATAAAAAATAAACCTGATTGTGTCTGTCTAAACATTCCCTATCCAAATAATTTCTTCTAGGTATGGAAGATGAATTTTCGTACCTGGTTCAAGCCTTACAGCATTGCTCCTCTGTATCTCCTTCTCCAGAGAACAACAGACAAAGGGAAAGTTTTTTTTTCCCAAATTTAAAAATTCCAGCCTTCCCATTGACTCTCTTGGTCAGGTGCCCACTACTTTTCTTTTACCTGTGGGCTTGTTAACCCTTTACAGGTAAAGCAAGCAGAGAACAGACACCAAGAGGGATTTTACAGCTAACTGGCTGGCTGGGTGTTCATAAACTGGGGCTTAGCCTGCCCCATTCTTTGCAGTTCATCCTAATTGAGTGACCTCAGTTGGCTCCCTTGGGACCCTGGTCACAAATGGCTTTTGTTCGGATGGTGAAATAAATAAATATAGGAATCTTTTCACTGATTTGATCAGGGAGCTACATCAGACTCCCAGGGACGAGGATGAGATGAGAAGTGTGGAATTAGTAAAGACTCTGATGTTCCAACAAGCATTCAGTAGTGTGCCTTCACAGCCCAATGGCTGTAGGGAGGCATTGTGGTCAAATGGATAGTGCACTGGTCTAGAACTCATGACACTGACCTCCTTTGTAAAGGGCTTTGAGATCTATGGATGACAAGTGTTCTAAAAAAATGTTTTTATTATTAGCAACCACTAACAAGCACATCTATAGCCCACGAAAGCTTATGCCCAAATAAATTTGTTAGTATCTAAGGTGCCATAAGGACTCCTCGTTGGTTTTTCTGATACAGACTAACACGGCTACCCCTCTGAAACCCTTCTCCCCTGAGTCTCTCAAAATGTTTTACAAACACTAAGGAATAACATAACCATTCCTGCCTATGACAGGTTTCAGAGTAGCAGCCGTGTTTTTTCTCCTGCTGATAATAACTCGTCTTAACTAATTAGCCTCTCACAGTTTGTATGGTAACTTCCAACTTATCTGTATGTATGTGTATATATATATATCTTACTATATGTTCCATTCTATGCATCCGATGAAGTGGGCCGTAGCCCACAAAAATTTATGCTCTAATAAATTTGTTAGTTTCTAAGGTGCCACAAGTACTCCTGTTCTTATTCCTACCTATATTATACTCCTTATTTTAGCTGTTAGGAAAAGTGAGGTATATGGCATTTAAGGCTCTGACTCAGTAGGGATTAAGCACCTAATTCCCTTAGGCTCCTTTGAAAATCCCAGCCTAAGGGACATGCCTTTGACCACACTGAACCAGGAATAGAAGAGTCCTGATGCTCAGCCTCTTCTGTAAGCATTAGGCAACTCTCCCTTGGAAGAATATCAGAGAGTATGTGGAAGCTCTTTCTTAGGCTGTGTCTACACTGCATACCGCACAATGGCACAGCTGTGCCGCTGTAAGGTCTCCTGTGTAGCCGCTCTTTTCCGGCAGGAGAGAGCTCTCCTGCTAGCAAATTAAAACCACCCCCAACGAGCGGCAGTAGCTTTGTCTGCGGGAGAGCATCTCCCACCAACAAAGCACTGTCCACTCTGGGTGCTTTTCGTCAGTAAAACTTTTGTCAGTCAGGCAAGTGTTTTTTTCACACCCTTGACTGACAAAAGTTTTACCAGCAAAAGTACCGTGTAGTCATAGCCTTACTCCCCAGTCTTATAGAAACAAGTCATCTCAACTAAGTGTGCTTGAGAAGGACTGGTTAGTTCAAACGTATTACACTTCTCCATCTTGGGAAAGGCCTTCTGACCTACCGAAAGCTTCCTCACTTCGTCAATATAAACTCAATTATTTTGACCTGCCTGGCGTTTTGGAGATTTAGAACAGGTGGGGGGTTCTCCCCCTTTTGAAACCCAACAGAGTTGTTCTCATCATACTCTGACACATTTTGTATATATATAAATCTTTAAACAAAAATCCTAAATCTAAAATTTTCAAAAGTGAATTATCTTGCATATGTAACTCTCTGGTTTATTTTATAGGGTCCCATATACTATATATTTCATAGGGCCATTTATATGCACCTAGTTTATTTAATAGGGTCTCATATTGTATATCACATAGGGCCATACATATGCATCTAGTTTATTTTATAGGATCTTATATTCATACATTATATATTTCATACGGCCTTTCGTGTACATCCAGTTTATTTTATAGTCTTATATATTAACATATGTTTCATAGGGCCTTTTATATGCATCTGGTTTATTTGTATAGGGTCTTATATATTCATATTTTATGGGGCCTTTCCAATTAATCTGCAAAAACCAAGGAGTGGGGTGCCACCGGACTCCGTGTTGTTTTTGTGGATACACACTTACACAGCTACCTCCTACTAATCTGGTTTATTTTATGAGGGTCTTCCATCGTAAATCAATTAATCCGTTGTGTTTTGCATTTTCTCAGAGCTTTACGAACATCGTGTAATCCTCACAACAGCCCGGCAAAGGGGAGCGGTGGTTAATAACAACACTGACTTGTCCACGGGGGACTCAGAGCTGTCACCGCTTTGGGGCAATACCTTGCAAATGCAGGGGCTGAAACTCCCCTGGGGGTGTAAATTTACACTCAGCTCCTTACACACCCACCCACCCACCCACCCACGCGCGGCTGCCTTTGCCCACGGAGCAGCCCCCTTGGACTCCAGAGGCACGAAGTCACTTGCGCGCGCGCGCACAGCCCCTGCAGGCTCGCGCGGCCTCCCCGCCCGGACGGGGGCAAGCGCTGTGGGCTCCCTTCTCCACCCGAAGGCGCCGACTTGCTGCCTGCGCACCCCCGCCCCTGCAGCCACTTGGTACAGCTTGCGCTCTCCTCTCTCCCCCCCCCCCCGCGCGCGGCTGCCCATCGCAGTGGTAGCTCCCTAGGCACGCTGGTAGCCCTGCTCCTGCTTCCCGCGAGCCGCTGCCCCGGGGGCGGGTCCGGCGCGGGGCGGACCCGCGTTCTGCCGCCTTGCCGCGGGCTGGAAGCGGCTCAGCCCCGCCCCGAGGGGGAGGCACCGGGGGTTTCCCTTTGCTTGCAGTGCCGTCGGGTATTGCAAGGGAGGGCCCCGCTGCAGGGCCCGAGGCACTGGAGGCGCGGAGCCAGGGGCCCAGCCGGGCCGGCGGAGCATGAAGTGGGCACTGAGCCTGCTCGCCTTTGAATGCTGCACGCAGCGTCTTCCGGTAATGAGGCATTGGCTTGGAGCGGGGGGTGGCTTGGAGCGGGGGTTGGGATCCGGCATTAGAGCCATGTGTGGTTGGGTTTAAAATCCTGGTGAAAGGAACTCTGCTGCCTGCAGAAAGAAGGCACCAGCCTTATGAGCCCTGTCTAAAGGCCTAAGGGAGAGGATTTGGTTTGCTGCCTCATAAGGAATGTTTGCACGCGGTAGCTGGGTGTAAAAAAAAAAAAAAAAAAAGGGCCGGGCGACGTCCAGGAGCTGTTATAACATCTGTCGATCCCTGTTATGGTTGATGGCTGTGCTGACAACATGCTCTGCAAAAATAAACATCCCTAAAACAGCCCCCCCTCCCCTCGACCCCCGTCCTGTAGCTCGGTGTGGCTGAGAGTGCGTGAGCTTGCCGTGTTTGGGCCTAAAGCAGAGATGCAAAGAAAGTGTGCATCCGCTGAAGTGAGCTGTGGCTCACGAAAGCTTCCACTCAGATAGATTTGTTAGTCTCTAAGGTGCCACAAGTCCTCCATTTATTTTTTTGTGAATGCAGACTAACACGGCTGCTACTCTGAAAGAAAGACCTGGATATCCTGGGAAATGTAAAGGAAGGGGTAATTTAGAGCCAGGTTTCGCCACACCCTCCCCGGGGGCATGTTGCTTGGGAGGGAGACTTGGGGGCTGGTCATTGCATGGAAAGAGATGGAAAACCTAGAGGAACTCTGTGTCACAGAGGTTTGTTCCTTGTTACTGTGGGGAAAGCAGGTTGTGTTGCTTCTGTCTCCTGGGAGGCCTCTCCTGGGAGGAACTCGTGTTTCCGGGAGTCTGCAAAATAGTATGTGTGTGTGTTCGTGTTCATGGCGCAGTATAAAAATACCAATAGTTCTACATGCTAAGGTATAGGGTAGATCAAATCTCATGCTTCAGGGCACAAGCTGATTGCCACGGGGGTCAGGAAGAGCTTCTCCTCCTCATATACAACAGTGAAAAATCTGCCGGGGCACTAGGAGGGTGTTTTGCCTTCCTCTGAAGCACTGCACTGCCTCTGTCAGGATGGTGCCCTAAAGAACTGAGAGTCTCCCTTGGCGTGCAACTCCTGTGTTCTGCTAGATGTGACCTGTGTCCTCTTTTGCTCCACATGCCTTGGGATAGCCTGCAAAGGGCATGGATGGCAGAAGGAATCTGCCCCAGGACACCTATTCTTGCTCTTCTCTAGGGCTAGGACGGTGCCACCAAGTACTTTGCGTGGACAGTGGAATGGATTCAACTCAGCTTTCCACCTCTGTCTGCCACTGTAAACCTAGGGGCGGAGGAAGGCTCGCCAGTGGGAAGATCATGCTGGCAGAAAACAGCCTTAGCCTCTCCCTCCCAGCCTTAGCCAAAAAGTGGGGGTGCCCAAAGGATGCACTCTCATTTGATCCTCTGTAGAACCCCAGCCAGACGAGAGCAGGCACCTCCAGCTGAAATGCCACTGTCTGTCTCTGGGGGGGTGAATCCCCACAGAGGTATTGTGGGGGCAGGCTAACACGGGAAGCTGCCATTCACAGCACCCTGTGCCAGCTGCAGGAATTAGTGCAGATTCTAGCAGTCAGTGCCCCCCTAGGAAAATCAGTCCTTTGCCACCGTCCCATCATGGCTCGCGCGCCAGAGGGGGAAGACATGATGTGGGTCTGGCGGAAGCTGGTTGGCTGTCTGATGTGGTCTGTAACCCTCGGGATTGTCCTGCTCTGTTTATTAGATCTGGACGACTCAGGGCAGAGATCTGCGCACCTCGTGGTGATCGATTTCACTTCCAGCTCCGCAGGCTGTTTCTTCCCGCACCATGTTCGGCTCCTCCAGGGGAGGAGTGAGGGGCGGGCAGGACCAGTTCAACTGGGAGGATGTGAAGACGGATAAACAGAGGGAAAATTACCTGGGTAAGAGTTGATCTTGTCATTGCATAAAGTGTCTTGTGTGAATTCAGCTCTTGTGAAAGGTGCCTGACAGGCAGCGCTGGAGGCTGATGTCCTTGGTATACTACAGGACGCACACGGCATGGGCACCATGCTTTCACCTTCCCTGCTGCCATTCCCCCGTGAGCACCGATCCCAACCTGAGAGCACCACTTCTGGAGCCAACAGGAGGATTTGGTCTCTCTGCTGAGGCTGCCGACGCAGGGGGACCAGCTATGACAGTTATTTTATGTCATGTCCATGTGGTAACTAGGAACTGGACGCACGGGAATATTGGTGTTAATATTATAAACGTGGAGATGGTGTTGCTCTTTGCTTTATGTCCTAAGAGCTGTCATGGTGGTGGTCTTAAACACTACTGTGTTTCATTGATTTTTAAGGCCAGAAGGGACCATTCTGACCATCTAATTTGGCCTCCTATGTAACCTTACCAAGTGATTCCTGTGGGAAACCCAATTATTTGGGTTGGAATTAAAGCAGCTTGTTTCTAAAAAGATGGCCAATCTCCATTTATAGAAACAACTTGATGGAGAATTTACCACTTCCCTTAGCAAGCAACCTAGAGGTAGCTGAATTTCACTGCTGGGCAAAGTGAACCCTATTCATACAGTCAGTACTGCTGCTAAATCACTTTGGGATTTGTTGTGATATAAAAACCTGAGGTCCTGTTCACCCTGTATGTTCATTAAATGGAACTTTTGTAGGCTTTGTGGTTTGCCCTGGGGTCTGGCCACCCTCCCTCCCCAAGTTGTACATTGTGCTGTGTGCTGTTTGGCTGCCACCATGCACCCCAGAGGTGGCCGCATTTCAGTACAGCGATGCATACAGAGTTACAAAGCCCTTCTGGATCCCTGAGGATGAAAAGTGCTATAGAAATGTAAGACGTTATTGTTTGCTATTAGTGGAAGCTGAATGGCTGGGACAGATTGGCCCAAATGCTGTCTTTTCGCCTCAGAATAAATAATCAGCCCCTAGACTTATATAGGAGCCCTTGAATCACACCATGGACCTTGTCAAGAATAACGCTTAGATATTACATAGCACTTTTCACCTGTAGATCTCAAAGCACTTTACAGAGGAGTTCAGGATCAGTAGTCCCATTTTACAGATGGATAAACTGAGGAATGGATGGGGAAGTGCCTTGTCCGCAGTCACCCCCCAGGTCAGTGGAAGACCTGGGTGTCCTGACTCCCAGTGCTGTGCCCTATGTGTTGGGCCCTGCGTGATCTATCGTTAGTCCGGTTGCATTGTTTTAGAAGTGATGTTTCATACTGGCCTAACACTTTAGGTCTCTTGAAGGCTTCTCTTGTTCTAAATGGCAGGCAACTCACTGATGGCTCCAGTGGGCAGGTGGCAGAAGGGCAAAGACCTCACCTGGTATGCAAAGGGGAAGCAAGGCGACGTGCAGATCTCCCGAGAAGCCGAGCTGGCTGCAGTCCGGCTGGCCGAGCAGGAGGCCATGATGGCGGCTCTGTAAGTCTGTGGCAAGTGGGTCTAACGGGTGACCTCTCCAAGGCCTATGACATATTGAGAACCACAGTTTAAAAGACACCTTGAAGTTTGGTTCATCTGATCTGAAATCTGCAGGTACAACTGGGCAAGTCACCTCTACTTCCTCTTCCACCATTTTTCTGTTGTGGCTACCTAGCTAATAAGTTCTTTGATCTCTTACTGTGTGTGTTTGTGCAGCAATGGGGCCATGATCTTGGTTAGGGCCTCTGGGAACTGTCATAATGCAAATAATTCATCTAGTGTTGTGGGACTGTAGGCAACCAGCTCTGTCTGATATTTCTAGGATGCCCATCGCCGTGGTGTCTGAGAACCACATAAAAATGCATTTGTGAGCACCAAACAGGTTCGACTGGATAAATGTCCCAACTTCCTGAGCCCCCCTGCAGTCTTGTGGCAATAGCAACTCTGCGTCTAGTGACCTGGTGATCTTCAAACAATTCAACCGATGGAGAAGCAGTCTTGGTGTCTCGCTCCCTTTCTCCCAGCCCCTCTCCCGGAACGGGTGATTCAGCCATCGCTTGCTTTTGTAACTCATCTGGATTTTATTTCTTCCAGGGGCTACAAGAATGTGAAGAAACAGCCCACGGGCCTGAGCAAAGAGGTACGGTAGGCATCTGAGTGTGAGAGGTGGGGTCTTTGTGCGAGAGATTCAGGGGAGGGAGCGGGAAGTGGCGCTCCAGCAGGGCCACAGGCCCTCTCCATACCAAGTTATCTGGGTTTGACTCATGAGCCTACTGACATTTAATACTTTATTTTGGAGCCTGGATTCATGACTGGGGCTCTGAGAAAGTTCACTTGGTCCATAAAGCATTTCTACTGCTGCTTCCAAAATGTTCCCAGCCCTGCTGGGTCATGAAATATCAGTTCTTATTTTTAAAAAAAAAAATCACATCACTCTGATTACCATCGTGCTTCCTTGCCCAATCTAAGGGCTTGTCTACATAGTCTGGAACAGCTATTCCTGATTAACTCCCTCTATGGACACTCGTACTCTGGAAAAAGAGTGTGTTACTTTGAACAGACAAGGATTATTCCAGAATAAGAGCATCCACCTAGGGCGTTAATCAGGTATAGCTATTCAGCTTTAAATTCACACCCTACCGTAAGCCAAATTAATTTCCCTGCTATAGACAAGCCCTTAGTCTGACATGACTTAAATAGCCAGTGTCTCCTGAGCTTTAGTTGAGTTGTGCTTTGTACAAAGCTGCTTCAGTTGGGGTAGCTGGTTCTAGAGACATCCGCTGCTGGACTCAGGTCAGAACTAGGAAGTTGTTAGCAAGATGGTAACCAGAATGAGGTGATTTTTAAAGTTCTGGGTCTTGGGATCTGGCAGAGCTAAAATTGAATGGTGTACACGCCACTGGGGAGCGATTATTTGTAGCTTTATTGGTTTTGCTGGCCAGATGACACCTTAAAACTCTTTTTCTCTCCTCCTCCCTCCCCCCCCCTCCCCCCCCCAGTCTGGCTGTCATTATTGGCACTTAAGTGGGAATGAGCATACACTGCTGTGAATATACGCTGCACCGGGACTTGCTAACTTTCAAATTCTGCCTCTTTGCAACATTAATGACGAATAAGACGTAAAAAGATGGAAGTGAGGGATTCACTGGAAATGTACTAGGCAGAATTTACCTCTCTCTGTGAACTGCCCATGAATCGCTCTACTGCTGTAGTGCTCAGAGGCTGTGCAATCAGGACCTTATTTATTTATAGAACAATATTGTATAATGGCCCCTACTGAGGCCAGGACTCCTCTGCAATAGGCACTGTACAAACACATGGAGAGGCAGACCTGGCCTTGAAGCACTTATAGTCTAAACTGACAAGACAGGCAGAGGATAGGAGAGGCACAGACTTGCCTGGAAGGTCAGAGGCAGAGCCAGGAATAGAACCCAGGTGTCCTGACTCCCACTCTAGTGCTGTTTCCTCCAGACCATGCTCAGTCAGCTGCTCCCTCGGATGATTGCTTGTCCCACAGCAGTTTTGTAGGCTTAGCAGAGTACCAGTGTTACACGCAGCCCCTTGGATCTCAGAGGCTTCCCCAGCTCTTTACAAGCTGTGTACAAGGTACAAACAGTAGTGTTGGAACATAACCACTTCCTGGGCTGAGAGTGACGATCGGCTGGTGCCCAACAGGGAAGGGAAAAGAGGGGGGGGCTCCTACTGAAAATGCCCTGGGAGGTTGAATTTCCATGTGGCACAGATAAGTCAGTGTGAGTTGCCCTTTCTGAACATACCTGATTCAACCCCACTGGGATCTGTGCCTATGGTCCCAATCATCCCACTGGCAGAATGGGGTGGATTTGCTGCACTTGTGCATTAACTTCAACGAGACCGTTTTGGTCAGCCCTGTTGCTGTCCATTACAGGATCGGGGCCTGTCTTTGCAAAGTGCATTGAGATCTGCTGCTTGAAAAGGGCCATAGAAATGGGGTGGTGATGGTGGGGCCTCATGGTTTAGTCAACTGAAAGCTTGTTCCTATTTCCATTCAGTCTGGGGACATACAGGTCACCTGAGTGCTCCACAAGGGGTGCTCCTGACTATGGAAAATACAGTATTGAATAATTCAGCGCCCCCAGTTCTTCTAATACATGGATGTGGTTAACTGGTCAGGTCCATGGACTTACTGCTCCTTCTAACCTGTTCCTTCCTAGGATCTCGCTGAGGTCTGTAAGCGTGACGGAGCAGAGCGCGATGAGAAGGATACAGACCGTGTCTTGGGGCTGGGGAGTTCCAGGTATGGGGCTATTTTCCACTAGCATAAGAATTCCAGTGCTTTTCCCTGCTCTTTAGAACCTCTGGTGGCTAAAGCAGGAAATCTGATGACCCCAAAACCACAAACGATGTGGAAAAAGGGATAAACTGCGAGGTGGCAAAATGTTCAGATGATACGAAATTACTCAAGATGGTTAAGTCCAAAGCAGACTGTGAAGAGTTAAAGGGCTCTCCCACAACTGGGTGACTGGGCAACAAAATGGCAGATGAAATTCAGTGTTTATAAGTGCAAAGTAATACACACGAGGAAAAAATAATTCCAACTATACGTAAACATGATGGGGTCTAAATTAGCTGTTATCACTCAAGAAAGAGATCTTGGAACCATCGTGGATAGTTCTCTGCATCTGCTCAGTGCACAGCAGTAGTCAAAAAAGCTAACAGTAATAACAGTAATACTGTGCCCCGGTCTAGCGCATTCATCAGAGAGTTTTCAAAGGCCTTTCCAAACACTGATGAATCCTCATGCCCCAAGAGGAAACTGAGGCAGCACAGAAGTTAAATGACTCTCCCAAGATGACGCAGTCACTCAGTAGCCGAGCGGGAACAGATCTCAGGAATTCTTGACTGCCAGTCCCCTGCTTTAACCAGTAGTGTCATTGCTCCAAAAGTGTCATTGGCTCATCCCTCATGGTGACTAGAGAAAATCCTGCAGTACGCTCGTGTATGTGTGTGTATCTTTACTTTTTATTTTCCCCCCAGTGGTGGTGCTGGCAGAATGATGCTCTCCAAAGAGGACAAAGAGGCTGCCAAACTGGGGCTTTCTGTTTTTACTGTAAGTCTTTCCACCCTGTGCTCGTCATTCTGCATGCTAGGTGCTTTGCAGAGCATAGGAGAGGCTTGATCCCTGCTGCGTCTACACTAATTTTTACCGTCCAAGCGAAACTCCCAGAGTGTAACTTTCTGGGGTTAGTTTCACATTCCCCATTGCTCGTGCAAATTGTGAGGGCTGCATTGGGGTGTGTGTTTTGGTTTTTTTTTGTTTTTTTAAGGGGTTGATCCTACTCGCATGTCTGTGTAGGTGCTGACGTGGCCCTCCTCGCTAGTATCTGAGTGCCTCCTGATCACTAGTGGATTTTATCCTGATAGCACCCCTGTGAGCTACAGAAGTATTGGCCCTGTTTTATACATGGGAGAACCGAGGCACAGAGAGTAAGTGAGTTGCCCGAGCTCTCACAGGAAGTTTGTGGCAGAGCAGGAATTGAACCCAACTGTCCTCAGCCCCTGGCCAGGGCTTTTACTGGAGACCGTCCTTTCTCCATCTGTTCACATGGATCTGGAATTTTGTCACTGATGTCATGGGAGCAGGATTTTGGGCAGGAGGGATATAGCTTTATTACCTGGATAACAGAAATAAGCCTGAATTGGCTTTCTGGGCCCCTGACCTTCTTGAACTCTGGGAGCATTTCAGACTAACTCTAAAGTTCGCAGCCAGCACCTATCTTTGTAACAGGGCAAATCCCCCAACTTTCAGGAGAGTTTGGCTTGGGGTCAGCCCAGTTCTGTGGCTGAGAAGCGGGAGCTACAATATCAAATCCCTTCTTGTGAGCATTGGGGGTTTGCTCTTGCGGCCGAGTTGGTGTAGTAACCCTAACCGCCCCCTGGGTAGATAGATGTGAGAGCTGGAGGGTAATAGATGTGGGGGGGGGGGAGTAGAAATGCAAGGAGAAGCTGAGGTCGTGGCTGGGAGGAGCTTGAGGGCGAGAGAGAAGATCCCTAGAGCAAGAGTCTAAGGTGGCGCCACTTTGCCCTCCTGCAGGGGGGCACTGCCGGTCAGCACCAGCTGTCGCCCCAACGCTGTCATGGCTGTGACCTAACTCGCAGGGTGTAACCTTTATGTGCAGGGGACAGCGCCACATAGCAGGGAATTGGCGTCAGAGTGAGAACGAAGGAGCTCCACGCTGCCAGCCCTGCTCCCACCCCCCCACCCCAGCTACGTTGCCACCTTGTTTAATCTTGGTATTGCTCAGTAATACAGTGGGACCTGCTCTGTGTTGTTAACCATGGGCACGCTCAGCCTGACGGTCTCGTGCATCATTTTGTCTTGTGAAAATCTAGCATCAGAGAGCGGCAAACAGTCCGGAGGCCTCAGGGGCGAAGAGAAAGGTGGGCAAGGAAGAAAAGGCAGAAGAGGCATGGTAAGAGCAACCCACTTATGCTTGACACACAGCGGGAGCTGCGGTGGGCTATCGTGAGACGCTGTTCACCCACAGCCGGGTGTCTCTGTCAATCAGATTCCCCTCTGACTGCGTCTGCACCCGCTTTCATTTCACAGAGCTCCCTGCCAGCAAAGCCTTTTGCGTGTGGACATCTGCAAAGTTGCAGCTAGCAGCTCGGATTTGTTTAATCCCAAACTAACTTCCTTCCGCGCAGAAGTGGTTTCATAAAGATGAGGCTAACCCAGTGGTTCTCAGTCTATTTACCATGGTGGGCCACACCTGCAGCTCTCTGTGTTATGTGGGCCGCATCCGCACACTATAAATGCTACCTGTATGCCCCTGAGAATGTCACACGGGCTGCAACTGGGCACTGATTGGGCCGCAAACGGCCCGCGGGTTGAGAATCACTGGGCTAACCAATCGTGTGGAAGAAACAATACCATGTGCGTGAATCAACCAGTCACACAGCTAGATTATTAGATAGCTGCAGCAGCTGGTGAGCAGCTTAGGGCTTAATCCGTTCTTGCAAAACTTTCATGGAGTGATCCACAGCAGTGAGCCACTGAGGGCAGGCACTGGGCTGAGACCTGGCAACTTGCCCCTGGTCAGCGAATGCAGCTGCGGTTTCAAAGAAGCGCTGGTGCCGTTAGCATGTCTCCCTGTTTCTTTAACCGTGCAGGCCCGAGAGCAGCAAGAAATCCAAAAAGGAGAAGAAGAAGAAAAAGAAGAAAAAACACAAGAAAGAGAAGGAAAAGGAGAAACATCACAAGAAAGAAGCAGCCACCACCACCTCCTCCCCCTCTCCAGATCATGGGGAAAGGTACCAGAGCTGCTGCTATCTTTCTCTTTCATGGCAGTGTCTAAAATCATAGAAGATTAGGGGTGGAAGAGACCTCAGGAGGTCATCCAGTCCAATCCCCTGCTCAAAGCAGGGCCAACACCAACTAAAGACCCCAGTCAGGGATCAGGACCCCATTTTGCTAGGCACTGTACAAACACAAGGGCAGTCGCAGGCTCCAAGGCCAGAAGGGACCATTAGATCTTCTTGTCTGACCTCCTGTATAACCTGTGAGTGTGTTAGATATTATAGCTCCATGAAGTGTGTTAGGTATTATAGCCCCATTTTGTAGATGGCAAAACTGAGGCACAGAGCTCCAGATCACAGAGGAAGTTGATATTAGACCTGGGAATTGAAATCATGTCGTCCGAGTCCAGTGTTATAACACCAAGACCAACTTTCTGACGTTCTGCGTGGCTGGAGAATTTCACTCAGTTACTCCTGTATTGAGCCCCTTCCTGACCCTGGAGCTCACAAACTCAGGCTTTGACTACCCTGCACTTTCATCAATAAAACTTTTGTAGTTCAGAGGTGCAAAAAACACCCCCCCCACACAGCCCCCAAACAACAAAAGTTTTGCCGACGAGAAGCACCGGTGTGAACAGTTCTTTGTCGGCCGGAGTGCTCTCCTGCTGACAGAGCTATTGCCTCCCGTTGGGGGTGGATTTTGTTTGTCAGAGGGAGAGCTCTTGGCATGTAGCGACACAGCTGTGTCGCTAGAAAGTGCGTAGAAAACAAGCAGCCTGGAAAGCCTCCCTGCCGCAGCCTTTGTGTGGCAAGTGTGTCTGCTGCATTGTGCTCTCTCCTTTCCCCAGACAAGGGAGGTCAGAGTGTGTGTGTCATGGGAGTGGGGGGCGGGAGGGAAACCATTTTCTTCTTTCAGAGTAGCAGCCGCGTTAGTCTGTATCTGCAAAAAGAAAAGGAGGACTTGTGGCACCTTAGAGACTAACCAATTTATTTGAGCATGAGCTTTTGTGAGCTACAGCTCACTTCATTTTCTTCTTGTAACCTAGCTTCACAGATTGGCCGTGGGTGGAGGCGGGGAAGGGGGTGTTGCATTAGCCGTGACTGACTAAAGCTGGGGCTCGACGCACGGTAGTTGGATTTGCTCCCCGGGGTAGGACACTTGTTGTGAAGACTCTCTGACATTAGCAGCATTGGGTCAGGTAGCACCTTGATTTGTGCCACACCTGTACAATGCCGTGAGCCCACGTGTGGCAGCTGCTCCAGATGTGGCTGGACCCCACCACGTGAGAGTCTCTCTGCTAGCTCCCCGGGTAGTAAAAAGGCTCGGGGGGGGGGGGCATTGGTGCTGTGGATTGGCATGTCGTACTGAGCCAGCCCCCCTGCCCTCTCCAGTGGGGATTGAAATGCAAACATTCAATGGAGTAACCTGCTGAGCGCTCTTCTGTTGTGGCGGGTAGGTATTTTCTGGGCCTCTTGCCAATCTCAGTGCGTCATCCTCTTCCCCAGCCCTCTGTGTAGCAGCTTTAGATTAACTTCCGTACTAGCTATGCCCCCAAACAAGCACCAGTACAAATCGTCCATCCATTAAGCGCTAAATGACTTCTCTCTCCATGCAGTCCATAGCACGCTGCTCCTTGGACCATTCGACCGAGCGTGCCACATCTCAGACTCCAGAGTCCAGGGCAGAACACCTCTTTGATTTTAATCAGTGGTGTTAGAATGGATTCTTGCTGTAGTACTATGCTACAAACCAGCCTGCATCTCTCCAGTGCTGAACTGAGAACCATGGCTACAGGATGTTGGATCAAGGATAGACAGAGACTTTGGTCTGACTGTAACTTACAGTATAATTGCGGGGTCTAGGTAGTATTTAGCTATTTGCTCATTTAAAAACAAGATCCTGCTCTTAATTTTTTTTTTTTTAAGTATTTCTCTACGCACTGTTTGAAACCTGTACCCCATATGGCAGGAGAGAAGCCACGGTTAGAACATTTTGTTTCAATATTAGTATCTTACAGAATAGTTTGTAAGATCTTTTGGTGGCAGGGATTGTCGTCTTGTTCTGCTTTTGTACAGCTCCTCACACAATGGGGTGTTGGCTCAGGACTAGGACTCGCTAGCCCAGGGGTTCTCAAACTGGGGGTCGTGAGGTTTGTCCATGTGGGGGAGAGGGTCACGAGCTGTCTGCCTCCATCCCAAAACCCGCTTCACCTCCAAGCATTTATAATAGTGTTAAATATATTTTTTTTAAAAAAGTGTTTTTAATTTATAAGGGGGGGTGGCACTCAGAGGCTTGCTGTGTGAAAGGGGTCACCAGGACAAAAGTTTGAGACCCACTGCCTTAGCCTTCACCACAATCCACACACACAGTATACGGGAGTCAGTGCGGATAGTTCTTAGCATAAACAAGCCTACATTCTCCTCTCGCTTGTACCAGTGTAATCCAGGAGTAACTCAGTTGAGGATCATGGCATTACCCAGGGGTAACACCTGTGTGAGATCAGAACTAGGGGGTCCCAAGGGCTTTTCTCATTTGGCCCATGCTTACCTGGCGTGTGAAGGTTACATTTTAGTGCATTCACGTTTTTTTTTTGACGCATTTGCAAATACTTAACACACGAGGGCGCTGTGAGCCAAGAGCTGCCGCACTCTGTATAAGGGACATGTCCGTGGAATCCCAGAAACAAACCTACCAACCCGGCTGCTTTTCTTTCTTTTTTTTTTTTTTTTTTAATATTCCTTCCCGTGTAGACTACAGAGTAACTGGCCATGTCCAGAGGGGACCGCCAGCAGTCTGTCTCTTCTCCCGCTGGCTCATTGGGGTCATTTAACACCCCTTACCCATGCCGTGAATGTGGTGACGTGGAGATTGTCCCTTCACCAGTGGTCTGACTCGAGCCCCCATGCTGCCTTTTTCAAAACCAGGTCACCAGGGGCACCTTGCTGGCTTGTACCAGTGGCATGGAGAGCCCTGGCCAATGTCTGGGTGAGGGAGCACGGGGTATTTCAAGGCAGTGCAGCACACCCTTCCCCAGGGGATCTGCCAGTGTAGCTAGTGGTGATGGCTTACGCTAACCCCACGTGTTAATAGCAGTAAACGTCCTGGAGTATATTGCGGCAAAAGAAATGAAGTCCCAGGAATAGGCGGCCTCTCCATAGCAGCAGCTGTTAAATCTCAGCTGAGGGGCTCTGTGCTTTGTATGCAAACCATAGGGCATGCTGATGAGCATTGTGCAGATCAGGGAGATTTCCCTGGGTGTCCCCTATGCATCCAGCAGCCCTTGTGACCTACAGTTGATTACAAATGCACTGCTGTCACTCCAGCCTGGAGGCCTGGCCATGGACTGAAATGAACTGGCTTTAACAGAACAGCGAGCGTGAACAGTTTTGCAGGAGAATAACTCCCCCCTGAATGAATTTTTCTAGGGCCAGACTCTGATCTCTGTCAGAGGCGTAAATCCAGGGTTAACTGCATTGACACTGGGCATGGCAGCAGGGTTAGCTGGGTGTAACTGAAAGCAGAACCTGGCCCCTAGTTTGGAAGAACTTTGTTCTCGTTGTCCTAGAATTGGGTCCCCCGTAGCCCAGCCCCAAGACTGGGGGCGGGATCGTGCCCAAGGGAAGGGGAAGATGCAGACAGGGTAGGATTCTTCCCTGGGCTATGTTCCCCTGTGCAGAGCAGTATCTCAGCATTGCCTGCATCATCCTTTCAGCCAGGCTAGAGCATACAGGGACTGGTCCCTTATCACTTGTGTCTCTCCATTCCTGCTCCGAGGGTCTGTTCTCTTCCCCTCTCGGGGGCCGCGGGGTTTGCACCCGCAGGCTCTGACCCATCTTCTCTGTTGCAGGAGGAGGAGGGAAGCCCCACCCTCCAAGGACCATTCATCATCCTCCCGGCGGCTTGCAGATGGCTGGCGTGACAGCCATTCATCACCGGGCCCAGAGGCACAGAAGCAGCCCGGCAGGCGGCGGCACGACATGGACTCCTCCAGCAGCGAGGGCATGGGAGGGAGCCCCCCTCGCCGACATCTCCCAGCCCACAGGAATGACAGGAGTGGCAGCAGGGACCGCCACAGCCGGCACTCCCCCTCCAGGGGCAAGGGGAACGGCAGAGAGTCCCCCCCAGACCGCCGCGCCAAGCGGCGCCACGACACTGACTCAGATGACTGAGCTGCAGGGAGATCCTCAGCTGGTACAAATCAGAGCAGCTGTGAAGTCACTGGATTGAGAGTGCATTGAACTGTACCAGTTCACACCAGCTGAGGATCTGGCCCAGAGGTTGGTGGGTTTTTTTTTTTTATGCCCTTATCTATGCTACTGATGCCCTAGCATAGATGCCTAGTGTAGACACATTTATACCAGTATATGCACTTTCTTATGCCAGTATAATTGCAGTTACACCGGTAAAGCTTTTTAGAGGAGTCTAGCCCTTAGCTTGGCCAAGGCTGCTCCACTGGCCTATTTCTCTGATTCTGCTGAGCTTGCCCTGCCCCGCTGTGTCTTGTGCCCACAAAGGGTTTAAAGCCAGGTGCACAGATCCCTCCTGTATGTCTGCAGGGGGATAACTGTATGCCGGGGAAGCGAACCTCTTGCAGAATTGAGGCCTTTGTTTGGAAATGTTTATCAGGTCGCTGTCAAGTACTTGTGTGCCCAGAGTTAGATATTTTAGAAAACCAACGTCAACTACAGAACCTCCTGTTGAACCAGAATTTTACTGAAAAGCTTGGGGAGAGAATGTAATAGAAGAGAGATCTTGTTTGGGTTTTGACTATTGCCTGAGGTGAATGTCTTCAACCCGCTGTGTTAGTGCATGAGAACCAGCAAGGTTAAAGCAGCCTGGAACATGATGTCCAACAAAAACGGACAATGGATCTAGTCCGTTTCAAGCAGAGGGTGACGTAGCAAGTAAACAGAGTGTCCCTGAAAACCAGGCAGCTGGAGATGAACAGTTTCTGCTTTAATAGCCTAAAAGACGTTGCTATCCGTGTGTGTTTTTACTGTGCTGAAGGGTTTTGTTGGTTTTTTAAATTTTTTTTTAATCTGACACTTTTTTCTTTTAAATTTCCCCTGTTTTTTTTAAATGTACTTACACAGGAAGTTTTGTAAACTCCCCCCCCCCCCCCGGAATAAAATAACTTGAAGTTTAGGAGACTTAAACTTGTATTTGGACAAACAGCTAGTAACCGTGCCGCAACTTCCCTGATTGTGAAGTGAGATCAGAATAGCTGCTATGTAGTCCTGTGGGGTTAAAGTCTCTTCTGTTTGTATATTGGCACAACTCCACTGACTTCCGAAGCCAGGCCGGTTTGCCCCTGCAGCAATTCTGCCCGTGCTCTCCAGAGCTGAGCCCAGGGGCCCTCATGCCTGCGGTAGACAGATGTCCCTGGCCCTCGATAACTTTGTTTGTGCCTGTTAGTGGGCTGGGGTTGGGATTTTCCAGGGGTGGTTGGAGCATCTGCCCCGAATGTGTAAGTTGGTCACTGTATTGCTGACACCATCATCTGCAAGGAAACCAGGGCAGGGTGGGAAATGGGCTGAGTCACAGAACCATCAGTGCAGGCGGCCTCTGGGGTGTCAGTCTAGGCAGGGAGACCAACCGTGAATACCCCTGCTGGCTGCATCATACGGGCGGGGAAAACTTGCATGGCAGCTGCCCTTGCCATGGGTGCAAATAAGGGACGTCCGGCTGCGGAGCCGTCGCTGTGGCGTGCTCTGCCACTAAAGGATAGGCAATCCTCTGAATGGAACTGATGTGGCAGCATCGGCCTGGGAGCTGCCAGGTGCAAATCTAGCTTCCAAAACCTCCTGGCCTCTGGATGGCTGCTCCCCCTGAGGAACTGGTTCCTCCAGCACCAGGAGCCAGTGTCCTAGCTGTTCCTTCCCCTTGCTCGATGGGCTCCTGTGTACGTGTGTGCTTGCTGAGAAGAGGGGCTCTCGGCTGGCAGGACTACGGATGGGATGGGAGAGAAGGGTCAGTGGAGTAAATCAATGGGAAATTGGGAAGGGAGGAATCAACAAAGCTGCTTCACGCTGGGCTGCTGCAATGTGCCTCGCTCTAGTCCCGTCGCTGTGAGCAGCTCCGAGGTGCTGGTTCGACGACAGCTGTTCCCTGCTGTGGTAAATGGGACCCAGCCCTGGTAACCAGCCTGGGCAGCTGCTGCCTTGACTGTCTTGGTAGCCCAGAGGAGACTTGGCCAAGGTCACACAGCAAGTCAGCGGCAGAGGTGGGAACCCAGCTCTGATGTTTAGTCTTGCCAGGTTGCCAAAGACATCGGGAATTGGGACTGGATATTGGTGAAGAGCTCTAGAGAAGACGCTGCACAATAGCCTCCCCCCCCGCGGGGGCTGGAGGCCCCAGGCTAGGCTGTTTAGCGCTAGCCATAGGCCCAAGCCCTGCTTTATACAGGCAGGCCCCATCCTGTACGGACCCCTGGGGCATGGACTAGAGCAATGGTTTTCAAACTTTTGTACTGGTGCCCCCTTTCACAAAGCAAGCCTCTGAGTCTGACCCCGCCCTAGATATTAAAACCACTTTTTTATATATTTAACACCATTATAAATGCTGAGTGCAAAGTGGGGTTTGGGGTGGAGGCTGACAGCTCATGGCCCATCATGTAATAACCTCATGATCACCTGAGGGGTCCCAACCCCCAGTTTGAGAACCCCTGGACTAGAGCCTCTAGTAACTCTGTCTCTCTAACTCCTACAGTTTATCAGTTAAATGTGGGGCCGGCACTTTCCCTTTGGCCCTGAATGGAACTGGAGGGAAGTCTAGGGGGTAGCTCACGAGACTGGGACTTGGCAGACCTGGGTTCTATTCCCTGCTTGGCCACTGCCCTCATGGGTGACCTCAGGCAAGTCATGTCACAGCCCTGTGCCTTGGTTTCCCCACCTGTAAAATGGGATAATGGCACTGACCTCCTTTGTAAAGCATATTGAGACCGACTGCTATCTAAGAGCTGGGTGCCACTGTTACATATGAAACCCTGCTTTAGAGAGGCCAGGCAGGGATCTTAGCATGGGCGCTCTTTCTCCCCCTCGCCCCGATTCAGTCTTGTTCCCACTGAAGGCAGCGGCGAACCCCCCCAGTCCAGGTGCTCCGGGGAGCTGCTGCATCAATGAGCAGTCCTGGCAGCTGGCACCATAGCAAGCCCTCTGGTCGATGTCAGCAGAATACGGCGCTAATCCAGGGAAGAGGATGCATTTCCCGCTGGGAGAGAGGAACCCTGCCACCCTTCTATGCTTTTAACCTTTCCTAGCGGTTGGTATTACCGGCCCAAACGTGGGGCTGGCTCACTCTCAGTACACCAGGGAGCGTTTGAGTTTGGCGGGGCCAGCTGACTTGTGGGATAAATCTGGCTCCCCGCTTCCCCCACCAGTGTCTCCCCCCCGATTCCCCCTCGGCCTCCAGGCTTGTTGTGCAATCCAGGCAGTTTGAGCCCGGGGAGGGGGGTGGGCAGGGGAGGCGCCTGTTGCTGTAAGAATAAGAGGAGGTCAATTAAAGAAGGCGACCCCTTTTCAGGGCAGTGGGGTGGGGGCTGCTGAGGGGGGTGTTGCAAATGAATCCCATTGTTGGGTGGGAAGGGGAGGGGGAGGAAAGGCCACGCTGGGCCCTACCAGTCTGGCTCCAGCGTTTTCCATCTGATTAATAGGCCTCCTCCCAGCAGGGAAGGGGCTTCGCGTGGGAGCCTGGCCCAGCCGGCAAGGGCAGGAAGCCGGGGCAGGGGGAGCCCGATGCCAGCCGCTGGCCCCTCTGGGGTTTGCAGGACCTGGCCGCTCCGCACTTCATCAGTGGCCTAGGGAAAGGGCTGGGCGACAAGTAGGGCTGAACCCTGCAGGGGCCATGTGGTTTATTCGGGCATTGGCCTCAGCTGAGACCACAAACAAAGGAGCCTGTGAATGCCAGTGGGGTGTGTGTGTCTGTCTGTCTCTGGCTGTGTAGGGATTCCCAGGGCCCAGGATTCATTAGCCCTGCACCCCATTGGCAACTGTGGCTCCCCATCACAATCCCCCTCTTGCCCTCTGCCTGCCTTGTCTGTTTGGACTGTTAACTCGTGCGGCAGGGCCTCTCTCTCACCCCGTTTCTGTACAGCACCTAGCAGAGCAGGGCTCTATGCTCAGACTGGGGCCCATAGGCCCTGCTGGGATATGCACAGTGATGGGGGACAACAGCTCACACACGGGGTGAAATAGCAGTGAGGAGCCAATGGCCTTAACAGCCGTGCCGGTTGCGTGGCTGAGACAGACTGTGTTGTATTGCCTGTCAGTGCCTGAGCGGAGGCCCAGCCAGTGCCCGACTTCGGAGTGTTTGCTCTCCTAAGCAAACTAGAAGGCAACTGAAATGCACCCACCTCTAGGGTGGAGCACAGAGGGCACTGCAGAGCAGAACAGGGAGGAGACATTGGGATCAAGCTACAAAAAGTGCCTGGGATGATTAAGGTCCACACTGGCTCCAGGTCTCCTCCCAAGGGCTTGAACACTGAAAACTGCATGCTGCTCAATTTACCTACCTTGAACACACCACAGAGTTGCCTTGACCTTGCTGGGACTTGAACCGCTGGCACCAGTGATTAGGTATTCGCAGCCCAGTGCTTGGAAAGGCGCAGACTGGTTTGCCACCCTCAGTGGTGCCCTCCTTTTGGCTACTGCCACAGCTGCATATCAGCCGGCCCCTCAGCAGGGGCAAAATACTCTTACCTAGGCTAGCTGTGTGTACACATTGCCTGTAGGTGGCCCTGTCACTCCTCGTTTCCCCTCTGCTAGCAGCCCCTGCATGTGTAACCCAACCAGACTAGGTCTGTGCTCTCCTACAGAGGCAGGATGGTCGGTGTCTGTATGTTGGGGTGTAAGGGAATGAGAAGAAGTTGGTTATAAGGCAGGAGGGGGAGGGGGGCGTTTCAGGGCCGCTCACTGCACTGGCTGCCAGTTGTACAGAGAGAACTAGTCACGGTCTTAGTATTTAAAGCTTTTAGATGAGCATCTTGTCTGATATGTGTAACGGGCCGCAGTGTCTCATCCAGTTACCCCGATACTGAGCAGGCTAACTTGCGCTTCAGTCACACCCACCTTCCGGGAAGGCAGCCCATCTTGATCTGAAGGCAGCAAGAGCTGGAGAATGCACCACTGCCCTTGGGAGTTTGTCCCCGTGGTTAGTTAAGTTGGTGCCTTATTTCCAGTTTGAATATGTCTGGCTTCAGCTTCCGGCCGTTGGGTCTTCTCCTGTCTGTAGGACCAGCTTACCTTAGAAACAGCCTTCTCGTGCACGGTGGGGGTCCCACGCCACTGTTTTGTGATGGCAGGAGGCAGGGCCTGTTCTGTGCGCAGGGCATGCCTGTCAACGTCTCTCCCTTCGGTGTACAGCAGAATCTGCCGGGGGCACCCGTCAGGGCGAGACATGGGCTGAGTCTCTCAGATGGTGTCAATCAGCAGAACTCCACCAAAGCCAGATGCAGCTGGGACGATGCCAATTTACACCAGCTGAGGTTCTGGCCCAGAGTATCTTTCCTGGAGCACTGTGCCACTTTAATTCAGGGGAAGACTTAAGACAAAGGGCAATTTAAAAAATGGTTAGGAGCTGTAGCGGGCAATCAGCTGTGCAGAACTGACTGACTTTGATGGAAGCAATGAGGTGATCAGGTGTGCCGTTCCTTATGGCTAGGAGGGACCTACCCATTAAAGCACTAGTCTGGGAGCAGGTGTGGTGTGGAATTAGCTCTATACAAAGTGTCTCTAGTCACCTCTTTTGTGGCCTGCCAAGCTCTTTAGTCTGGATGCTGGCAAGGGGCCGTCTCCTCAGTTCCTACACAAAGTGCCCAAGCCTGCCTGGCAGCAGCACTGTCAGACGTGGCTTGATAACGGTGCTGAAAGTCCAACATTTCGCTCCTTTATAGCGTTCCCCATCTATAGATCTCACCATGCTTCACAAGGGACAGTCATTATCTTCACCCCCAAAATGGGGGACAGAGGCACAGAAGTGACTTGCCCAAAGGCGCACAGCTGGCTAGCAGCACAGCTGGGATTGGAGCCCCATCTTCTGACCCCCAAGTTCAGTGCTTGAGCCACGGGGCTGTCAGAGAAGCACAGCAGCAATGGGGAGCCCTGTTCCAGTCCCAGGTGTTTCTAT